TGAAGCCACATCTGCTTTAGATTTAGAAAGTGAAAAAGTGGTTCAAGAAGCTTTGGATGCTGCTCGAAGCGGTAGAACTTGTATTACTATAGCACATCGTCTGACAACAGTACAAGATGCAAACATGATATATGTTTTCAATAAAGGACTGATAGTAGAAAAAGGAACACATGATGAACTTATGGCGTTGAATGGTGTCTATGCAAAACTTTATGTAATGCAACAGGTTTCATAGTGCATTTATTTATAATGGTACATGTAATGAATTAAACTTATTTTCATTCAATTGTTTTTTATGTCTTGTCATTATTGAAGTAAATATAAAAGTGAATATAGTAAATAACGAATAAAAGTGTTTCTGGTAAAACCTTACTTCAATATTAAAATTAAGTAGGAATAACTTTTAGATATATTTTTTAGGTAATTTTCATATTTTGATACAGAAATTAGTAGCATTAATACTGTGTAAGCATTGGGTACCACACCATCTTTATTTAAATGTTCTCCAACTTTTCTTTGTATCGGAACTTCTATCCGTTCCATTTTTAATAATAATAATATCTCTTGCACTATGTTTCAAAAGTTTTTTTTGATCATTTTACGAAGGACATAATGGTAATAAACATTTTGTATAACTTATAAAACAATTGTGGAAACATGAATCTAACACAGCACTCCGAAGATAAAAGTAGAATCAAAGCTATGAATTGAATGAATACGACAAGAGCATGGCTACTATTTCTTAAATAGCGAATTAGAATGGACTATTCTGTTTACTATCACTGTATGAACATTGTAAACATTGTTGTAGTTAACGAAATTGGAAGAATGTTCAGGATGTTTTTTAGCTGCATGAATATTATGGATATTGATAACTATGGTTGACATTTCTGTACAGTAAGGTTTGGCAATTCATCATGAATTATTTAACACTAGAACAATCCTTTCAAATTATAAAAAATTTACTTCAAAAAAAAATAAATCTGTTCTTGAAGTTTTTGGAGCAGAATTTTGTTTATTAATGAAGCTTATTTTTAATTAAATAACTACGCCAATAAGCAAAATTGCAGTATACGTTATTGTAATTGGCAGTAAGGTTTGAAGATTAATTTTATAATTTATTACGAATTAAATCGAAAGTACCTTGTTCTTGTTAAACATTTGGCAGCTATTTTATAATAATTGAAGAGCAGTAATTTATATATTAATAAAGCAATTGTATTATTTCACATGGGAAAATGAAAGATTTCAAAATTCAAATAAATAAAAAGCATTTGCTAATATATCATCATGACTTTAACGGATAACTGCAAATAGGTAGGAGATTGCACAGATTGGAAACCGAAAAGATTTTATTTATAGTATTGTTTTACATTGAAAAATAATATCCATAACTTGTGCAAAATTTCATTTACAATATAAACTACAAAGAATACTCATTTGTTTAGTGAAGTTAAATGTGAAGATTTATTCCAGCTGCAATAGATAACCCAATCTCAATTTTATTAAAAACGCTATCGCATATTTAACCATATACAATAAATTCTAGAAACTATCCTACTAAAAATATTAAATATGTACGGCACTTAACAGAAACTCCCACAATTTGGATTTTTTCTAATAATGCTTTTCTAATTAAAAAAGAAAAACACGAAAGTGACTCAAGATCCCAGTTGTTGACAGTTGTTAACTTCGCAAAAAATTTATAATTGATGTTTTTATGGTTCTATGAATGAAGTTAATTTATGCCCCTTTACAAATCTCATCAGTTATTTCAATACTGTAGAATCCTCTATGGCAAGCTATCCAGTATAAGCTTTATTCAGTATCATTCAATTCAAATTTGAGTTTTTGTTAATCCGCATTAAATTGGATTAAACATATTTCATAGTTATAGAATATAGCTATATTCTATAGTATTCCATATATTATGGTTGGTTATTTTTCCGAAGTTGTAGTATTAATGTCGTTTAATCTTTTCTTAGCAAACAATAGTACAACACAAATTTCAAAGTCTTTAAACCATTCCATATTAGAATAGTTGCATAGATTTTATATCCATGATGGGCAGATTCAATTTGTTAAAGTTTCACACTTTAAGGTTCTATATCAATTTCGCATTATTTCATTCACTTCTTTTTGGAAATCACTGTATCAAAATAGGGAAAAGAACTCTTTTTGAGTTTTTTTGAGTTTTTATTTAATTTTTATTATATTTTGTTTTTTTCTTTTTCACCAATCTGTTTTATATAAAAATACATTTGCAATCAGTTGAGAACTAATTGCGTTACTTATTACTACTCAAATGCAATATTATAAACTATCTGTTGTAAATAAATTGTTTAAAATTGAACTTTTGTATATATTAGCAATATACTACCATATTTGTTTGAATGGTATAACAAACAAGTGACACGTGGTACCTAAATTCGTTTGGCTTTACCTTCCTTATGTAATGACATATGACTTTTTTTTTGGTAATTTTAATATATATGTAGAAAAGGAAAAAAACTTTTTATAAAATAGAATGATGGCATTGATGGGCGAATCAACTCAGGATAGAATTGTTGTAGACAATAATAAGAAACGCAAGTACATTATGGCTTAAATATATATACAATTTAGATTTAAAATTATTTTTATACATTTATATAAAAAACATGTTCAAATATAAATATAAAATATATATATAACCAGTAATTTGTTTAGATTATAAACAATTATTATTATGGGTTTAAAAAAAACTATCAAGGTTTCATTAATTATACAAAACAATATCTTAACTTCCTAATAATATCTCTTTAACATAAACTACTAAATGGTAACTGTTTGATAAAATAATGTCAATAAAAAAGCATTAAAATTATTCATTACATCTACATCAATAATGATTATAATGTAGATTATAATTGACTGCATACGCAATAATGACTGTACAGAATGTATTAGCATTTCATAAAGGATGCAAATTCAAGCACTACAACATTTTTCTCATTAATAATGCAATCAATACACATTAACTTACTTAATAAGAGAATTAATTATATATGAGTATTAATAATTAATATTAATAAAATATTTTTATTTTTTTTCAGAAGAAATGTATAAAACGACTTACAAGCACCCTCAAGTCACAATGACATTTCAGAAATTCACGCGAAAACTTAAAACTCGCAACAAAAATATATATATATTCTAAAATATGTTAAATGTGTAAAAATAGATAAGAGCATTTGTGATTTGGTGAAAATTTTACGAGTTTTAAACACCGAAGGATTCGTCACATACTAAAGCAATTGATTAATTATTTTCTGCTTTTCAATTTTTTCAAATTAAATTATTTTTATAAAGTTATAAAGTTGAGAAAGTTTTAAACAATTATTTCAACAATTATTTCTCATTACCTTCCGTTAAAGAATTTTCATGCAGGTGCAGCAAAATTTGTGTGAAAACAGTAGATTAGTGAATATGTGATATATATATAAATACGTCAGTTTTTCAACATATCTTTTAGTTGGAAATAAAATATTACTTACCTGTGACAAAGTTTTACATTTTTAGTTCCAAAGTAAACGAAATTAAAAGAGTTTTGAGATTCAGATTATATATCACAAGTGTTTGTATGATTCAAAGTGCACAATTAAAAAGTATTTCAATGCGATATTTTTGAAATTATATTTTATTTAGAATATGTATAGTGTAAATAAAACTACTTAATTACTTATCACCTCAATAAGCCAAACTCAGTGCAGCCATCATCTCAAATAAATAAAATTAATAAATCAATAAACTGACTTTAAAATGAATTAATAAAATAAATTAAAAAAAACTTAAAAATCATGGCACACAATAACTCCAATATACCAACGGAACCTGATATAATTCTCTCCCCCACAGAAAAAAACAACAGAAGTTCACAAGAGAAGCCTGATACTCTGCAAAACAGTACTAATTTGCACATAACAAATAAAAAGTTCGTATAAAAAAATATTTAAAATAATGCACAACATATACTTTAATTATTTTATATTTTTAATAAATATGTTCGCTCATGTTATTATGTTATTACTATGCAAAATAAATAATTAAATAATTACTGAAATTACAATAATTAAAATAATTTCCTATAATTTTAGCACCGTTGCAAGAAATACAGCTAAGGTCTCATATGAAAATCAGTTTTCATATTTACAATTAGTAAGTATATTTAAAATTTTTTCTACAAGAATACAATATAAGAATATAAATAATTCTAATTTTAAGTAAAAAGAAATAATAATAAATTAGTTATTAATTAGACATTATTTATTCTTAGAATAAGACATAAATTTTGCAGATTAAAATACAGGTGATGAAAGAATAAGACGATTAATTCATTTTATTATATTATTATTACTGTCAAAAATGTAATTACTTATGTAATTATGATAAATACAAATATAAAATAATAAATAAATAAATATAAAAATCGACATGAACTACCGCAACCGACCACAACCAAACCAAACTGCTTCTTCAGCTGACTACTTTTCTACTGCCTTACCTCTACAACCGAATTCCCAACCTTCTACCATTTTCAATTAATTGCGTTGCCAGCTTTTTGCATATATATGTATGGACTTACTTTTGTGTCTACTATATTTCCTAAATATTGTAATTCTTAAACTTTCTTAAAAAATTAATTTACTTACCCAAATCACGATGTATGCAAAAGTGTGTTTCAGATATATTATAATAAGTCATGTTAGTCACAATCCAAACTTTTCTTAACAAATCATTAAGTCAATGGAATGAAAGGATTTATAAAGTCATCCTTCAATGAACCATTTGTAAGGGTAATATAGTTTTTTAAGACTAGAATCTTATAGTTATTTTAGTTGACAAAGCAACGAATAATTTCTCTTAATTAATACTAAAAGGTTTCTATATTCTTCAAGATTGATTTTTATAGTATTATATTATTTCTACTTATATTTAAATTATTAATTATTATGACTCACTAAAGGTAAATATTTGTACCTTTATTTAATTTTATAATTAATTACTACATATTATGTAAGTGATTTGATTATTCTATAAACAAGTATTAACTTTTATTTAATTATTTAGTTCAAGTATTCAACGACTTTTGAACGTTTTTTGCTAGCTATTGCCATTGTGTTCGCTTCACTTGCTTCAATATCTGTATTATATTGTTTAGTAATATATGGAGAATTTACATCATTACTAATAGATCGTTCAGTCGGTAATGGTTCCTCGTCCTCAACTATTTTTTTACAAGTTTTTGGAGGCGGCACCAAATTGTGAGTCATCAGCTGTTACAAAGAAATATTTATCAAAATATATTAAAACTATTTCGTAACATATCTAGAACAAATGCCACCAGAGAAGAAAACCTACAAGTCATTAAAGATGATGCTTTAGCATTTGGAATAGCTAGCTTGATTGGAGCGTTATCAGAATGGTTGCTTCTAGCTGTTGCAGTTGATCTTTTCAATCATGTAGCTTTGAAACAAGTATATATTTTTAATTTATAATATGATATATATATATTATATATAAATATAATAGTAATAAAACTAATTTTTTTTCTCATGTAGATTACTAAAATACGTAAACTCTTTTTGGAAGCTATCCTCAGTCAAGATATGTCTTGGTATGACACAAGCTCGGGAAATAATTTTGCAAGTAAATTAACAGAGTAAGTTAAAAATATTGTAATTAGTCTATTCACGATCGTGGGATAACTTACGCTTCCTAAATATGTTAAAAAATATATTTTTTAACACATCTGAATCTTCTCGTAATATAAATAAAAAGACTGGTTCTTTTTAATTTCTTTATTTTATTATTACTTATACTAAATACTTATTAAAAATTATATTAAAAAGAAATTAAAAATATTAAAATTTCTAAAATTAGAAGAACTAATAACGTTACCAACTAGGCCACGATTGTGTAATGGGAACTAATCAACGTTACCGACAAGGCCACTGGGAACTAGTCAACGATACCGAGTAGGTCACGTTTGTACACTGGAAAATTAATCTAAATATCTCATTGGAATGCGTTTGCTTTACCATGAACTTATCGGTGCTGTCTTTTCTTGTAACCGCCACGGTGTGAAGTGATCTTCAGTTAAGTTTTCGTGTTCTTTTATATGCCAATCTGCTTACGGGAGTTTCACTTATAGTTCGTATGGTGTGTAGTTGATCTTGGATTTGTTATTGCTTACCAAACCATTCTATTGTTTGTGAAATTTAATGTTGTTGCTATTCAATTGCAATAACACGACAAGTGATCGCGCAGTGTCCCCATGTGCTCAGGACATTTGTTTGCCAGAAAAATTTCTGAACGGTTCCTACTACACATTTTATTGCTTTGCTTACGCATTTTTTTCATATAAAAGTTAAAAAAAATTTTTTTTGCCAAAAATTGAATATTTAGTTTTATAAACAAAATTTTTTTACATCTAAAAACATAATTGGTAAATTTACATAAATTTATTTGAAAAATATTATTTTAACAAATTATTTTATTCGGACAGCTGTAGTAAATAACGGCGTCACAATATGTTAAACTCTTCGATTTTAACTCAAACCAAATGTTTCCTCGTACAGAGATCTGGATAAGATGAGAGAAGGCATGGGAGAGAAGATTGGCATTTTTATTTTTCTAATGATGACTTTTATAACTGGAATTATCACTTCCTTCTTCTATGGCTGGGAAATGACTTTAGTCGTTTTAAGTTGCAGTCCTCTTCTAATAATCTCCATCGTTATGGTTACCATAATTCAAAGTTCTCTCACAAAAAAGGAAATAAAATCATATTCTGCTGCTGGAAGCATAGCTGAGGAAGTGTTCTCTGGTATTCGTACTGTATTGGCCTTTAGTGGTGAACAAAAAGAAACTCAACGGTTTAGTAAATTACTTATTCCTGCTGAGATCATAGGACGTAAAAAGGGCCTTTATTTCGGCATAAGTGCAGGAATAATGTGGCTTAATTTTCATTGCTGTTACGCTCTTTCTTTATGGTATGGTGCAAAACTTATACTTGCTGAACGTGATGAAGAAGTTCACCACTACACTCCGGGTATTTTGGTTATTATTGTTTTTAACATATTAGAAGGTTCTCGATATTTTGGAATCGCTTCACATCATTTAGAGACTTTCATTGCAGCCAAAGAATCTGCACAAAATATTTTCTCAACTATAAAAAGCAAATCATCCATAGATTCTCTGAATGAGAACGGAGCAACGCCTTCAAATATTGTTGGAAATATTTCTTTTGATAACATTTGTTTTCGTTACCCCGCACGTCAAGATGTGGAAATTCTAAACAGTTTCTCATTAGACTTTAATGCCGGTCAAACTGTTGCATTGGTTGGAACTTCAGGATGTGGCAAATCAACCATATTACAATTAATACAACGTTTTTATGATCCTCGAAGTGGAACAGTTCGATTAGATGGTATAAATATAAAAGATTTAAATGTGGGTTGGTTACGTTCCCAAATTGGTGTGGTTGGTCAAGAACCTGTTCTATTTGCAACAACCATAGAGGAGAATATTCGTTATGGTAATCTATCCGCAAGCGTAGAAGATATACAGAAAGCTGCACGTATGGCAAATTGTCATGATTTTATAAGTAAATTACCAAATGGTTATGACACATTGGTAGGAGAGAGAGGTGCTCAATTGTCTGGTGGACAAAAACAACGTATTGCTATTGCACGTGCTCTTGTACGTAATCCAAAAATTTTACTTTTGGATGAAGCCACTTCAGCACTTGATTCCTCATCTGAAAAACAAGTGCAGGATGCTTTAGAAGTAGCTAGTAAAAATCGAACCACATTAATAGTATCACATCGTTTATCGACAATTACTAAGGCCAATCTTATTGTATTTATTAATGGTGGTGTTGTTGTCGAACAGGGAACACACGAGAATCTGATGAAGAGAAAAGGATATTACTTTCAACTTGTAAATATAACTAAACGAAAAGAGGAATTAGAATCTGGTTCAACAGATTCTACTATGACGCATTTAATTCCAGCGAAGCAATTAATTGCGGTAGCAGAGAACAAAAATGAAAACACCTTGAATGAGGAATCTGCACCAAATAACGTGTCGAGAGCAAAAAGTAAGTTCGTACAGTTCATGTATTTCTACATATATGGTATAGCATATGTTGGTATATAATAGATAATATTAAAAATTTTACAAAACCATTACAACTAATGAGTGGGTCAAAATATTTTTAAAGTATTTTAATATGCTTTTTAGAGAAGTCAAAATTGAAAACGAAACCGGTTGAAAAATGCGAAGTCTCCTTCAAACAAATAATGAAACTTAATGCACCGGAATGGCGTTTTCTATTGACCGGCAGTGCAGGAGCAATTATGCATGGAGCTTCTCTTCCATGTTGGGGTCTACTTTTTGGTGAATTTTTTGGAGTGAGTTTCTAATATTATTGAAAGATTAAATTAAAAAAACTATTCGTGTGCACAGATTATATCCAAAGAGGATTCAAATTTTGTGCAATCCCAAATTCTTCAACTTTCTTATAAGTTCATTGTGCTTGGCATAATTGCGGGTCTAGGAATATTAATACAAAATTACATGTTCAATATCGCGGGAGTAAAGATGACATCTCGTCTTCGCAAAACCGCTTTCAAAACAATTATTAGTCAAGAAACTGCATACTTCGATGATCAAAATAATTCTGTGGGTGCATTGTGTGCTCGATTAGCAAGTGATTGTTCAAATATTCAAGGTGTAGGTATATTACTATTAATTCCCAATAAATACTAATTCTTGTCACTAATGTTTCTTAGGCTACTGGAGCAAGAATTGGAATTATCGTTCAAGCACTATCAACTCTCAGTATCAGTGTTATTGTATCTTTATTTTACTCATGGAACTTAACTTTAGTCACAATCTTTACCATACCTGTTGTTTGCTTGTCAATTGTTTTTGAGTCACGTTTCATGGAATCATATGCTCTTGCTGAAAAACTTGCCATCGAAAATGCTTCACAAGTAGCAGTGGAAGCGATTTCAAATATACGTACTGTCGCCAGTTTGGGATTGGAAAGAAATGTACTGAGTCGTTACAATGAACAAATCGATCGTGCTGGTGCACTTTGTAGGAACAAAGTTAGATTTCGGGGTACATTCTTTGGTATGGGACAAGCATCACCATATTTAGCTTATGGAGTATCATTGTATTACGGAGGATTGTTAGTTGCTAATGAAGGCTTAAAATATGAAAATGTTATTAAGTATGTATTTAGATTTATGCGCAAAACAGATATAATTAATTTTAGTTACATAACAGAGTCTCAGAAGCGTTACTATTCGGTTTGTGGATTTTAGGATATGCTTTAGCATATTCACCAAACGTAAGTGCAGGTATTCTATCTGCAGAAAACATATTGAAACTATTTAACAGATCGCCGGCAATACAAATGGTAGAAAAACAAACTATTAACGCTACTGAAGTAAGATATATTGATTGATTGTTAAAGCTTTTATTATAATATGTAACTTACAGAAAACAGATGGTGATATTATATACAAAGACATTAACTTTCAATATCCAACAAGAAAAGATATACAAATATTACATAATCTCAATTTGGATATTAAACGTGGGACCACAGTAGCATTGGTAGGATCATCTGGATCTGGTAAATCGACATGCGTACAACTTTTACTTCGTTATTATGATCCAAATAGTGGTTCAGTCAATATAAATGGTACACCAACTACAGAATTTTCAATGGATACTTTGCGTTCAAGTTTAGGTCTAGTATCACAAGAACCTGTATTATTCGATAGAACAATTGCAGAAAATATTGCTTATGGAAATAACTTCCGTGATGATATTCCTATGGCTGAAATAATGGAAGCTGCAAAGAAAGCGAATATACATAATTTCATTGTTTCCTTACCTCAAGGTTATAGTACTTCCTTAGGTAGTAAAGGTACACAATTATCTGGTGGTCAAAAACAACGAATTGCCATTGCAAGAGCTTTATTAAGAAATCCAAAAATACTTATTTTGGATGAAGCCACATCTGCTTTAGATTTGGAAAGTGAAAAAATAGTTCAGGAAGCTTTGGATGCTGCACGCAATGGTAGGACTTGTATAACAATAGCACATCGTCTGACAACAGTACGAGATGCAAACATGATATATGTTTTAAATAAAGGACTGGTAATAGAAAAAGGAACACATGATGAACTTATGGCGTTGAATGGTGTCTATGCAAAACTTTATGTAATGCAACAGGTTTTATAGTGCATTTATTTATAATGGTACACGTAATGAATTAAACTTATTTTCCTTCAATTGTTTTTTATGTTTTGTTATTATTGAAGTAAATATATAAATAAATATAAATCTTTCTTAAATCTTTCGAATAAAAATTTTTCTTTTAAAACCTTACTTCAATATTAAAATTAAATAGGAAGAACTTTTAGATACACGTAGCAAAAAAGTCATAATTCTCATAGGCTGTAGGTACATGATTTTCTCAACACAAGTTTGTTACCTTTGATTCCAAATACGCAAAATTAACTCTCATCGGTGAAAATAACTCATTATCAAAACTCAATTGGTTTATTTACATGCTTTCTTGCAAAGCTTAATCATTTTATTCTTTTATATCTGGATATAAAGGAATTAGCTAGTTTGGAAAATTTTGTGGATGTCCGTAGACTTTTTCTGCTATGTGTATACCTGAACTATACACTCAGTATTTATTATGAATGAATTCATGATTTCATTAATTAGTTTTCATTGAACATAATATATTTTTACTTACGTATTCCATCTAAATTCTTAATTACCATTAGGACAATAAGTAATATTATTGTGCCGTTAGAGCATCCTTCTTCCTTCTTTAGAACAAAATTGTAAATCTACAAAACAATCATTTAAAATATACAAAAATTAATAATAGATAATAATATTTTAGGCAACAAAAACTTTTTTAACATTTTCAAATATGTTGAATTCCTCTGTATATATATATATATTTCACGTTTATTGGAAGGATAAAATTCAATGGACTATATCCCATAGCTATTACATAAATTGCACATTCGGATTTGTATTTTTTACAATAATAATAGTAATTTACTGAATACGCTGTAAAAACTTAAATTCGTATTTTATTACAAGATCTCCACTCTATCATTTGTCACAGCAAAAACAGTAAATTAATAGAATGATCAGATGAAAACATAATCCAGAGAATTTTTTTGATGAATATTGCATTGAACGACCAACAACTGTAGATTAAACATTCAAGAATGATACTTTGTGTTATAAAACTATTATCTTATAGAATTTGGGGTGGGTTATTGAAACTATTGGAATTCCGCTGTAATACATTCAGAAAAATCTGTTTAAAAATATAAAAACAGTAATTATCTTGGGCAAAAACTTTCCTGCCACTAATATATAAACGAAAGAAATACCTAGATGGACATCTTAAATGAGATGAAAATAATAAAGCTCTGCATAACAGGTTAATATTTCAATTTATTGTGAAAATTGATTCAAACAAACATTCTATATCAACAAAAGCGATGTAATAGACCTCTCTATCGAAGTATAAAATTCCCTAATGTAATAGTTATAGGGTCTCGGCGAGAGTTTTTGCGTTTCCTGGCATTGGACGAAAAACGTATTCGGATAAACAGTTTTAAAAGTTGTTTTGAACACTCTACAAAGAACATAGTAGTAATAAACTTTTTTTATAACTTTTAAGAATATTGTTGAAACATGAATCTAACACAGCACACCGAAGATAAAAGTAGAATCAAAATTATGAATTATTTTTTCGAAATTGTTTTATTAATGTCGTTTAATCTTTTTTTAGCAAACAATAGTACAACACAAATTTCAAAGGGTTTAAACTATTCCATATTAGAATAGTTGAATAGATTTCATAACCATGGTCGCCAGATTCAATTTGTTAAAGTTTCACACTTTAAGGTTCTATATCAAGTTCACATTATTCCATTCACTTCTTTGGGGAATCACTGTATCAAATTAGTCGGAAAGAACTTATTTTCAAGTCAATATCCGAAACGTTTACACAATATTCAATGGCATACAATATTTGTATATCATGCAATAAATTATGTATCATGCAATAAATTGTGTATCATGCAAAATAAATTGTATATCATGTTATTTATTACAATTGTACGTGTATGCTGTTTAAGAAATTCTATCATCTATTGCTAACAAAAAAGAAAGTTACTTATCCATCAGATATATGTTATTTTCATAATTCTATAGATTTACAATTAAAATATATTTATATACAATTTCGAATTTTATATTAAATTATGTTCTAAACATTGAAATTGTTTATTTGGCGGTTCTCTTCAATTTCAATTTCAAATGCCAACTGCACTCTTATTCGTCAATTTTCATTTTGCTGCCAGTGTTTATTGAATTCCTATTTTATTTTGTTTTTCCTATTTTTCCAATCTGTAATATAAACATACATTTGAGTTAAGTTGAGAACTGATTTCGATAAGAAACACAAGTACATTGCTGCTTCCTAATACTCAAATGCACAATCTTAGTACAAAAAACAAAACTGACTTCCATTAAGAAAAATATATTGTGCATAATGGAAGTGTGCTTGTAAATACCAAATTCATTTATGTGAACAACGCAAAATTATAAACTATCTATTCCAAATAAATTATTCAAAATTAATATTTTGCACAAATTTGTACAAAACGAACAAGTGATACATGACAGTTAATTTGGTTTGCCCATAGCTTGCATTTCTAATAATGAGGCGTACGACTATTTTTTTTTTTTGCTGATTTCAATTTGTTAGTAGAGAGGGAGAAAATTTTCTATATAATGGGGATATACGATTAAAGAGCGACATTACCAAAGATAGACAAGTTATTAATAAGTTATAACAATAAGCATTTAGATATAAAATATATATATAAGATGGAAGTTTAATATTATTTTCATATATATATATATATATAAATATATATTAAGAAGTTTTTGAAAAGTAGTGAACTACAAAAACAAACATTTTTGTATATTACTTTTAATCAATTTTCATATTCAGTTTTTGGCAGACCATGCAGTTGTTTCGAGTATTGCCAAATACCCATCAGCAGTGGTCTTGAAAATAATTCTTGTATTTAATTACTCGAAAATAATTTTTTTTTTGAAACTGCAAATACCAGGGATTTAACTCATGCCCTGCCAAATTTGAAGCTCAAAGTTAGCGTTCATTAGCTAGCTGACCCAAAGCCGAACTTGACTTTAATGTTCGCACATTTCTCTGGAGTTTTGTTAATTTACTGTGAACAAAATCATAAACCAGCTATAGAATAATTGAACAAATTAAAATATATATATCACTTTTCTATTTAATTTATATAGTAAAAGTCTTGGTTTTTAAAAAACACTATCAAGATTTCATTCGAATAATACAAAATAATACCTTAACTTATCAATGAACTGTTAAATTTTTTATTTGTAAAGTTATATTATATTCACCCAATTACCCAAGACTATTTACCCCTTTCACATAAATTACTGAGTTGTAACTGTTTGTTAAAACTAAGATAAATAAAAAATGCATTGAAATTATTCATTAAATCTACATTGCTAATAATGACTAAACAGAATGTATATACATTTAGATTTGACTTCATAGACAAAGGATACAAATTCACACACTATAATATTTTTCCCATTAATAATGCAATTCACATTAATAAGAGAATTCGTTATATATGAATATTAATATTTAATATTAGAAAAATATTTTAATTTTCCACCAGAAAAATGTATAAAATGACTTACAAACACCCTCAGGTCACAATCACATTTCAGAAATTCACGCGAAAACTTAAAACTCGAAACAAAAATATGTTAAATGTGTAAAAATAGATAAGAACATTTGTGATTTGGTGAAAATTTTACGAGTTTTAAACACCGGTGAATTCGTCACATACTAAAGCAATTGATTTATTATTTTCTGCTTTTCAATTTTTTCAAATTAAATTATTTTTATAATTTAAAAACAGTTTAGAAGTTTTAAACAATTATTTCATTTTATGCCTTCCATTAAAGAATTTTCGTGCAGCAAAATTTTTATAAAATCAGTGGATTAGTGAATATCTGAAATATATATAAATACGTCACCTTTTCAACATATCTTCTAATTGGAAATAAAATATTACTTACCTGTGACAAAGTTTTACATTTTTAGTTCCAAAGTAAAAGAAATTAAAAGAATTTTGAGATTCAGATTATATATCACAAGTGTTTGTATGATTCAAAGTGCATAATTAAAAAGTATTTCAATGCGATATTTCTGAAATTATGTTATAACTCTTTGTTTAGTAATATTTAGAATATTTATAGTGTAAATAAAACCACTTAATTACTAATCACCTCAATAAGCCAAACTCATTGCAGCCATCATCTCAAATAAATAAAATTAATAAATCAATAAACTGACTTTAAAATGAATTAATAAAATAAATTAGAAAAAACTTAAAAATCATGGCACACAATAACTCCAATATACCAACGGAACCTGATATAATTCTCTCCCCCACAGAAAAAAACAACAGAAGTTCGCGGGAGAAACCTAGTACTCTGCAAAACAGTACTAATTTGCACACAACAAATAAAAAGTTCGTATAAAAAAATATTTAAAATAATACACAGCATATACTTTAATTATTTTATATTTTTAATAAATAGTAGAAGAAATTATAAAATTTATATCGAAAATGTTAGCTCACATATAGCTGACTTCATCTTATTACTATGCAAAATAGAAACAATAGTTCATCGGTATATTACGTCTCTACGGCTTAAACCAGCACATGTCTCATCTAACTCATACCCAATGATGTGTTTAATTATAATCACTCACATTCTCATTTATATATATTATTAAAATATTACCTCATATTTTAAATACACACACTGTATCTATATATACTAAAACTTGTGCAGTCATATAATATTATTTACATATTTTGTAATTGTAGTAAAAGTGACTAAGTTTAAATTTTGTTCAATCTTCATTTTTTAACTGAAATATTAAAATGTATAAAAATGTAGAAGTATTAACCAAACCAAAAAGTTTTAATTACTGAATTTTATTGCACAACATTATTTATTATTTATATTTATTCTACGAAAGATTTTCGAAAAACTGGGCTAATGGTTTCGAAATTTTTTCGTTTCCTTTTCCACCTTGAAGCATCTGATGTTCAACATTCGGGCATCAAGTCCCCTACTATGTTATAACCTTTCTGTAATCAATATCAAAGTTCAATAAAGTTAAGATTCTTTACTCAAACATTAAGTTGCAAGTCAACTCCGATACCATGTCATTACTACAATAATGTTCGTAGAGTTTTTTTTAAGAACATCCAATTATTTTTAAGAACATCCATAATAGAATTAAGCTTTTGCTTTCCTATCTCATATCTGTAATATATACACTTCCAAATAAATGTTACACAGAAATTAAAAGAATTTCATTAGTATACATACACATACACTTAAAATGTTTTAATGTGTACATATATAGATTATAATAAATTAAAGTTCATATAACAAATATTTTCAATATAGTAAAAAATAAATAATTAAAATTTTGAATTTATTTATCGACCTATTTTTTTATAATGGTTTTTTGAAATATTTTTTATCCGACTATTGGTAACTTTTTGTTAAATAATTTATTTTTTATTATATTTTAATATATTCTATATTTCGAATCTCCTTTAAAGTCATCGTCAGGATCACGATCTAACATAAATTAATGTTGATGAAACTATATGTGAGTCATCCTCTTTATTCTATTGTCTATATTATGTATATTGCACTATAGACAATAGAATAAAGAGAATGACGTAGATATAGTTTTATTAATATTAAATTATATTTGATCGTGATCCTGATGATGATTCTCAAGGATAGTCGAAATATAGAACATATCAAAAAATATTAAACAAGCGTTGAATCATTGAACAAAAAATGCCCTATAGCCGGATAAAAAAATTTATAAAAACCGTTATAAATAATTAAATGATAACAGATATAGTAATGAAGTTAATTTCTATTATTTCAGCATCGTTGAAAAAAATACAACTAAGGTTCCACATGAAAAACAGTTTTCATACTTACAATTAGTAAGTATATTTAATATGTTGTACACAAGAATATAATATAAGAACATAAATTAATTTATTTCCAAACAAAAAGTAATGATATTTGATTTTTTGCACAAAAATTATATTAATATAAGTTATTTAAGACATTAGCCATTCTTAGGTTAAGATATGTGAGTACCCAAAATTTTTACATAAAAATAGAGGATGAAATAGAGAATAAAATTATATAATTTAATGTAAAAAAAAATTAAATTTGAACTTAAAATTGCTTGCATGAAAATGTAATCCTTTTTGTACCTGTGGACTAAAGATTTCTAAACAATTAAAATTATTATCATCAATACCATAACGACCAACATGAAGTTCGATAGCGATCGACCTGTATTGTCCCTATGAAGCGGACCTCTTATTTTTGCTGTGCTCACTTACTTTTTTACTTTTGTTAACATCAGTCCAAAGTTTGTTACCAGGGGACATAAAAGAAATAAATTATATAAATGGGATTAAAAGGTTTGTAAAATCATTCTCCAAAGAACCGTTGATGATACTCGTAATTTGTAATAAACTCAAATAAATTTATTCATGTCCTGATTTCTTCAGTATGTTGATAAAATATTACAGTTTTTCAAGACTAGAATGTTATAGTTATTTTAGATGCCAAAACAACTTAAATAGTTTTCCTTAACTTTAAAAGATATCCATATTCTTTAAGATGAAACCATTTTAATGCATAATTTATCATTTTCTAATTAAATAAAATATTTGCAGGTTTTTTTAATTTTCCAATTGATTACTATATATTATAATAAACGATTTGATTAATCTGTAAACAAGTATTAACTTTTTTTTAATAATTTAGTTTAAGTATTCAACGACTTTTGAACGCTTCTTGGTAGCCGGCGGCGTGGTCTCTGCTTCACTCGCTTCAATATGCGTATTATTTTGTTTAGTAATATATGGAGAATTGACATCATTACTAATAGATCGTTCAGTCGGAATTGGTACTTCCTCCCCTACCATATTTCTGCAACTTTTTGGAGGCGGTACTAAATTGTGAGTAATCTGTTATAAAGCTGTAATAACAAAATATTTATTAACATTTATTAAAATTATTATCTGTTCGCTTTAGAACAAATGCCACTAGAGAAGAAAATCTACAGGCTATTAGAGATGATGCTTTAGCATTTGGATTAGCTAGCTTGGTTGGAGCTTTATTACAATGGTTACTTCTAGCTGTTGCAGTTGATCTCTTCAATCACGTAGCTTTAAAACAAGTAAATAAGTATAATATAGATCACAATATATACGTATATAAACAATAATAATAAAACTAATTTCTGTTCACAAGTAGATCACTAAAATACGTAAACTCTTTTTGGATTCAATGCTTCGTCAAGATATGTCTTGGTATGACACAAGCTCGGGAAACAATTTTGCAAGCAAATTAACAGAGTAAGTTTAAGTTATACAAAAAATAACTCTTTAATTTAAACTAAAACCAAATGTT